AGTCTTTTCGAGGATGATGCTACGAGCTTGGCACGCATATCTTTGAGCAGTCTCTCCCATTTATCTTTGCAGAACCTCTCAGCCTCCGTGTGGGTGGGTGAAGAGCATCAGTGCACAGTTATTGTCAGGTCTCTCAGGGATGTTCAGTTAGCTTCAAGTCTGGGCTCTGGACATAAACAGAGACATGCCTTTTCTTTCTCCTGCCTGTCCGTGTCATACTATACTACATATATACTATATACATGTCATAGTTTTTTTATGTTCATAACTTTGTAACAATTTGAAGCATTTTGTCACAATGGAGTGTTGTGTATAGAAGGCTTTTTGTATGATTACAGGAGGTTAATATAGCTGCAGTTGTACACAGACGCAGCCTGCTCTGCTCGGGCCCCACACAGCTCACATAAACTGCTGACAGCAGCTCAGCGTGGCCTGAAACAATAAATATCTGTAATCCCCGCATGTTCCAGTGGCCCTGTGTAGCCAAACACACTGTGTCCTGTGCTGTGTGCTTTATTTCAGAGCTGAAGCTAAAAAATAAGAAAGGGAACTACAACTAACTGAATGTCAGTGTAAGTTAACACACACACACAGACACACACAGTTATTAAGTACAGGCATGTGAGAATAAAAAAGGACTCTGTTTTTGATTTCAGCCATAGTTATAACTGACCTCAGGTCAGCAGGCAGCTCTGAACAGGCCCACAGGAACTGAAGCCTCGTCAGCACACTGACTGATTCTGGGAAGACTTAAAAAAAACTAATCAGGTTATAGTCAGTGAACAAGTCAGAGATGTACCAGGGGGCCAAATCACTGAGATGCTCTATTGGTTCCCAGTTCAACACGCCTTTAAAGTCCTTCTGTTAGTTCATAAAGTGATGTTAATACTGGCTTAATGTGGTTACATCTCTGGGTGTGCATTCTATGCTTCTAGATGAGAGTACTCTTTAAAAGGTGCTTGAATTCTCTGAGAGGGCTCGTCGTGCACAGCATGAAAACTCTAAGACCAGGCAGCAAAGGAAGTTTGACCTACTTGTTGTGCATTGAAAACTCGAAAAAGAGTGTCCTCAGTGAGCAGAAAGGATAAGGATACCACACCGAGGATGTGGACAAGTGGGTGAAAAATGCATCTGGCAGACAGCTCAGCCAAGCGGAGAAAAACATCCTCGCCAAAGGGCTGAACGTTGCTGTGACACAGAGACAAACGTGGGCCTGTCTCAGCAATGCAAAACCCCCAGCATCCAACATCAGCATGGAGGAGAGGAAGGCACTCACATCAATTAATAATGACAACAACATCATCATCCGTCCAGCAGACAAGGGTAGGTGCACAGTTTAAACCAGAAAGACTGTCATGAGAACATTTTGTCACTGTGCAGTGAGAAAAATACTTACAAGCTCCTGAAATGAGACCCAGAAAGTGTTTACATGAAGAGGCTGATAGACTGTCTTACACAGTCGACTTTAATGACCAGACCCCATAACACTAGTTATACCCAGGGGAAGCTACACTAAGGTTGGGCGATTGGACGAATATATCGACTATTGGCTGAAGGACCAGCCTGCCTGGAGCGCTGAGAGGTTCACACGCTTCCCATAAAGCCGGCTGAGGTGCTGTGTCACAGTGGAGGAAGTGGAGTGGGTAGGGGTGAGCAGCCGTCACTCGCAATGAATCGTTTTCTCCTGCTTTGAATAGGACAAGCAGCTGGGACTGTGTCGTGGTTCTTTTCTCCGTGTGTGGGCGTCAGAGCTCAGCTTTGTTGTGTTGATTATTTTGGCCTCGGCTCACCCTGAAGTGTTGACACTTGTGTTGTGTTGCTTCCTCCTCACTAGTCTGTGAATAAGCGACATGCAGTGATTGTTTCCTGTGGCTGCTTGGGTTTGGGGGGAGCAGAGGCCTCATCTATGCTGTGGCCATTCTGTGCATGGACAAGCCGCTGCCTCCAGTGGAGTTTAAGTATCTTGGGGTCTTGTTAGCACCTGCAGTGATGCAGATGTTCTACCAGCCTACTGAAGAACGTGCAGAGGGAACCTGTAAATTTACTTGCTGTGTTCCTACCATCACGTATGGCCACTGGGTAGTGGGTGGCTTGCTCATAGGAGGCCATATGGTTGTTGGGGTTTTTGTAGGGTCTACCTTACTAAGTATAAATCACCTTGAGGTGACTGTTGTTGTTGCTGGGTCTCCCTTAGAGGTAGGTTGAAGAACTTCAGGAGGAGCTCAGAGTAGAGCTGCTCCTCATTAAAGAAGCCAGTTAAGGTGGTTCATCTCCTGGTGCCTCTGAGCTGAGGTGTTCTGAGCATGGGAGATGATGTCTCGCCGCTGGTTTGGGAACGCCTTGGTTCCCAGGTGCAAGAGGTGGCCTAGGATGTGTGGACTGCTGCCACTGCGACCTCTGGCCTCTGTTTATTTTAATATGGCACTTCCAACAATATAACAGTAGTGGAGAACAACAGAGAAGTTAAATCCAGAAGAAAAACTATGTTTTTCATCTAATTCAAACTTCGGGTCCATGTGTGCACAGACTAACTATTTAATATATGAGTGAAGTGCCCGATGAAGAAACTGAACTGGCAGACCACACAGAGCAGCACTGAATTATGGGTATCCTGGAAGACAGTCAGAGACCTGCCATAGTGTCATAGCTGCGTGTGCTCCAGATTACAGTGATACTGTGGGTTTGTCCTGTAGTCTGTAACAATGTGGCACTTTAGATCCACTGAAATGAGGCTGTTTCTAATCTTTGGCCATATGGTGCCTGGACGAAGAGTGGGCTGTGGGGGTGGGTGAAGCATGTAGGTCAGCCTGGAACACAGAACCAACTAATCCCTGTTGCCAAACTATAGATGGACAGAAAGAATGCTTCAACCCACAGTCTGAATAATACTGAGCTCAGCTCGACTCCATTAATGAGCACATTTCAGACTTCTCCTCTGAACCCCACTGTGGGTATCTCACTGGAGACTCAAATGAAGAATAATATCAGCTGTTCTGTAAATGTTCTCAGCAGTTTAATTACAAAGTAGCTTATTGATCCATCCAAGTCTTAGTGTAACCGCCTGTAGCTTAGAAAAGAACTGTCAAATTCAAAGAATGATCCCAGACTTGATTTCAGTTCAGTTTTCTTTCTATGGCACCAGTTCACAACAACAGTCACTTCAAGCTGCTTCTAGCTTACTCTGAATATCCTCATGCTGTATCTATTGTGAGGTATGGAGTGTTTCTGCCTGCGGCCGAGTGAGATGACGATCAAATTATACTTTTTCGTGGTGTCACAAAATAAACTTCTTACAGCAATGTTTTCATGGTTTGGATGGTCGACACGTGGATGCAGGCACAGAGGATCCCAGCATGACCAGTGAAGACGAGGCAGAACCAGTTAGCTCCAAACAGAAGGACCGGTCCAAACACATCCAGGACCTTACTCCTAAACGAGGGGCTGCCTCTGTAGCATGGACATGGTTTGGTTATGAAACGTCTGACACAGACCTGAACCTGCACAAAGTGGCCCCACCCCCACTCAAACATGACAAACCTCTACCACCTACGCAAGAGTCACGTGACAGAGCGTGGAGAGAGTTTACAGACGAGAGGCAAAACGAGCCGTCAGGTGCTCCAAATAAACCTCAAACATTAGAACAGGCTTTTCCCCGCAGCACGCCGCGTAAGAAATACAAAGAAAATGGCGGCCGTTACAGTGTCATGCATTGACTCCCAGCTGAAACATTCACACAGGTCGAGCTGCTGAGATTCACAGAACTGACAGAAGATGCACTATTTTGTGATCTATGTGGTTATCAGGAGGAGAAATATCATATATCAGGATATGAGACTGTGGTCGTATCACAGCACCCACAGTCATAGAACTGTGACGATGCACAAACCTCTAGAAATTAAAAATATTCCACAGTAGATATTTGTTGTAGGTTAGCTAAGAAATGAAAGAGGAATAAACTGAACAGAAATCTGTAGGAAAATACTGCAACGACAGAAGTGCAGCTTTGTGTAACCCAGCAGGGTGGCTCGGGAGGCAGAGGAGGTCATCTGCAAGCAGGAAGGCTGGTGGTTTGATCCCTGGGTACGCCACAGGTACTAAGCCCAAGCTGCTCCTGATGCATCCATCATAGTGTGAGAGTGTGTGCTAGCTGTACAAAGTGCTGTGAGAGAGTAGAAAAGTGTCATATAAGAACCAGACCAGGCACCAAAGAGTCTTCAGCTGTGTGACACTCACACTGGTAGAGCTCCCAGCTGATGGAGAGTAGAACTGAAGCGTCTGGGAGAGACATAGTTTTAACTTTATAAGCAGCTCTTATCATTTATGTACCAGTGACATTACTGTCATGGCTCTTTCTCATTCATTAGATGGGATGGGCCTGCTAAGCTGATATATAGATGCCCATTGGCATTACCAAGATGGCTGACGATGTCTCTAAGGATTAATGAAACATACAGTGCAGTGAGAACAACGTGTGACTTTCCCAAGTACACAACGAGTAAGCGCTGTCATCAGCACACACCTCCACACCCACAGAGATGTTTCTGTGAGCTGAATGTTCCCACAGCTCTGAGTGTGCTTCATGTAGAGCTGAGGCTCCTTCTATGAGGTCATCATCACCTGCTGCTTCCTTTATCACGTCTAATGATCACTGACATGTGTGCAACAGGCCTGATGTGGAGTCAGCTTCACCAGTTTGACTGTGGGTGCTGAGCCAGCAGTCCTGTAGATGGGCAGCATCGTCCTGCTACGTGTGTGGAGCACTGAGCCAGAGATTATGGAGGGGGGGGGGAGTGCTCCATTTAGGAGGATTTAGGTCATTACTGGAAATGTCATGTTAATGCTGTTGTTATTTAGCTGAAGTGTGTCAGCAGATGATCCTGTTCTCCTCTCAAACTTCAGTCTGGAGATTACAAACCCTTCGTAGCCTATCACACGGGCTTATTGTAGACAAATGCAGATGTGATGTCAGCACAAATAGATACAGCTGCGTTTGTTTTCAGGCTTCCTGTGCTCACGTACGCTGGATGCACTGAAGGATCCTGTGAATGCCCAGGAGCTGCTACGTTTCTGCACTTGCTGGAAGCAGAGCTGGTAAGGCTGTGATGATCTGACAAAGGAACTAATGCATTTGTTTGTCATTTGTTAACTGAGTCTTAAACTCCATGACTTATCTTTGTCCTTTATTGAACAAGTGAAAATGTCATCTGTTTGTTGAAGTGCAAAAGCAAATGAAACCCATCCTGTATGGTTTTTGGCTTTCTGTCAGTCAGTGAGGAGTCCAAGACTGTAACTGCAGTTTGTCTCCTCAGAGCATACACCCTGTACTGTACCCTCACCCCGGGACGTTTAAAGTAGTTGTTCCAGCCCACGGTTCAGCTCAGGCCAGGACAGGGCAGGCACTGTTTGTGTGTACAGGAATAGCAGACGCAGATGGTGCCACAAAGCCCAGCAGTTTATTTGAAGCCCAGGCTCTACATAGTCATTACAGCGTGGTCTCATGGTAGCCTGCGTTTTTGTCTATATCTGCCACAAATGTGGCTACGCTTAGCTCTAAGTGTGCACATGCAGTGTCAGCCCAGAGTCCTCGGGAGCAGCTTGTTGTGAACGGGCCCCTGAAGATCCTGCTGGCTGAGCTGAAGTCAGTTTGATCACCCAGGTCACTGTGTGTGAAATATCACAATCATTTCATTGCTGTTGATCTCGTGCATATCCTGCATCTGACTGCTTCGCTAACAGCATCAAGACTCAGTCTTCAGTCATAAGATTTGAATGTCCCACATAACACGGTGAAAATCTGAATTCTCTGCACAGTTTCAATCCGAACTATAAATACACACAGCCTGTCGTATCGCTGCTCTTTATTCTACAAACTCTTTCTGTGAGACGATGAAGTCAGCAGGCTCCTGTGTCGCAGTCACAAAGACCAGGTTGTTTTCAGCGTGTAGTGCTAGTTAGTCCTAGTAACTGTTCCTCTGCCTCTGTACGCAGCGCGGCTCTTTTGTTTTGTTACGTTTCAGTTGTGATGACGTGGAGCAGACCTCTTCCTGTTTAGCTGCTCAATATAAACGGTTCTATAACAGCCACCAACATGGCATAGCTGCACTGAAGCCTGAACAGCAGTAGGCTAGCATTACGTTGAGCTATTTATTTTATATGTACTTTGGAAATGATCGTGCACGGTGCTTTTTGATTGGTTGGTGCTGTACATCGTAAAACTCTGAGCTCTTTACCCTCCAGGCTCTGTTTGGTGCACTGTTACCATGTGAAGCATCAGAGAGCACAGACGTGTGCGGCAGGAATGACTGACGAGCTCGATGACTCAGGAAAAACAAACATTATCTGTGTGTGTGTATTAAAGTCTGTATCACACTGTTTCTGTCTCGTGCTGCAGACCCACACCAGACGTGTCCTGTCAGTGATGACATCCACCCTGGTTCACATCTCCGCCACACTGTCTCTGCACTGCTCTCTCTGAGTGATGGGTTTGGGGCAGCCGTCCCAGACTGGTTCCTGCTCCTACACTGATCATTGGAAGCATCAGAGTGGCGCCTGGTGAAGGACAAGGGGAGATGCCAGGATGCCTATCACTCAGGACAACGCCATAAGCATTCTCTCACTGCTGGAGGATTGGCGTGGGGCTCACAGCACGAGGTCACAGCAGGATGATGATCTAAGTCAGGACAGCTCCTCTGGCTACACGGTACTGACCAGTCTCTCCACATCAGATAATGCTGCATGCTCTCATTGATGTTACCTGATTCCACCTTAAATCCCAACCTCTGAGTGGGAGGACATGCATCACACCAAGAAGTCAGACAGGCAGGATGCAAACCTGTTAAAGACATGGCCTGACAGCAGATGAGGGAAAGACAACGATACACAGAAAAGTCGTTCACTGCTCTGTGGTGACCCTGGGCTGGGCAGAGCAATCAGAGAGCTCGGAGACAAACACTCATGGGGAGTAAAACATGCTCACTTCATTTAATTATTAAAATGTCATTCAGATGAATTCAGTTTGATTTATACAGCACCGAATCACAGCAAGAGTCGCACTGACAGAAAAACAACAGTGTGTCTACATTACAAACAAACAGGACTAACGATGACACATTTCCCACCACAACCTCATTAATGCCCAGACAACTCAACATTGTGCGCTTTGTTCTGGCTGCACAAGCGTCGTTTTTTCCATTTTTACTGAACAAAGTTTGATGGTTTTGTAGTTTCACCTACCAAGTGAAAGATCCCTGGTTTGATCCCAGGAGGACGCACGGCTCCGTACGGTTGCTTCTAGAAGCAGCATCTGCTTTCATTTGGTGTAAAAAAAACAAAACCAATGTCTTTTTCTACCAAAAGGTGGAGTGAGACTTCATGACGTGCTCCTACGTGAGCATGCCCTCCACTTCAGTGCACACCATCAGAGGACTGTTGAGTCGTGTGTCTCTCCCAGCTGCTGTTTGTTTTTGTCTGTTACAGTGAAGCTGTTGGTGCTAGCACGTGCTAGCATGTGCTAGCACATTCAATGTAATATTTGAAATAAGACCAACAGAAATGAATAAACAAACAGATAAAGGATTCCCATAAACAAGAGGAGCCAGTAGATCAGGGGGTCAAACTGAGCGGAGAGCCGCTGCTGGCGCTGTCGTCTCACACGTTAGTGTTCAGCTAGAACAAAACAAACAAACATTTCCTAAAATGTTTCGTTTGTTTTTTAAATTTCAAATCTTGTATCAGACAAAACTGCAAACTTAGCTGAAGCCTTCCAAACACACTGGTCCTCTGTGCGCGCACGTTGTGTTTGTACAGAACAGAATAAATAAGTGCACACAGTGTGCGACTGTCACCGACAGCCTCAGCAGGTTTGTGCTCTCTGCTCGTGTCGTCTTCATAGTCAGTCATGTTGTGCTTTTGATTTTCCTCCCTAACAAACAGTCACTTCAAAGACAAACAGCATTATGTTTCTCCACATCAGTGTACGGGCCGCAAGTGGCCCTCGGGCCGCGAGTTTGACACCCCTGATCGAGATACTGTATAGCTGTTCTTGCAGGAGCAAAGCGTGCTCCGTGCATTCACATCACAGTTCTGAAGCTGCTGACAGGACAAGATTAAAAAAGAAAGAAGGAAAAATTAAAAGTGGCCTGTGAGGAACAGAATTAATGTGTATTTGTTGAAAACTAACGTCTGTTTCCTGATTGGTGACTCTTCTTCTCTCTGCAGCGGCTGGATCCTGACTCCTACCAGAATGGGGATGGGGAGAGTGTGTGCAGCACTGTTAGTGGCGGAGGATGTGTGGAGGACACGTCCCTCTGTCTGGCTGCTATTCAGAAGTTGGTGGAGTACATTCATTTCAACTTCATGGAGGGGGACACAGCTCCATCAGCCAGCCGGGCCTCATACAGTGAGGCGTTAGATGTTGAGCTTCATACGGTTTCCCTCAGTAAGGATGAGGGGGATGCTGCGGACTTCGGCCTTAGCTTTGGAAACATCCCTATTTTTGGAGACCCAAAGGGAAGAAAGAAGGGAGGCCCGAGGAGCAGGAGGGATCAGAGCCCCATCATGGATGTGGGCTGCATCTGGGTGACGGAGGTGAGGAAGAGGAGCCCAGCAGCTCGTTGTGGTGGGATCAAACTGAGAGATGAACTGCTGTCACTGAATGGGCAGCTAATGGTGGGAGTAGATGTCAGTGGAGCCAGGTAAGATTAATAAAACCTGATATATGAGTGAAGATCTGTGAAAAGTAAATAACACTCATTACCTCCACAGCAAATACACTGAAGAGACAGGCAGCAGCCAGGCATTGATAACCATCATTCATCATTATGATCGATCCAATCCAATCCAATTTTATTCATAAAGCACTTTAAAATACCCAGCACAGGAACAAAGTGCTGTACAGAAAATAAGTTAAAACAATAGAATAACAGAAAACAGCAAAATAAATAAATAAAACACATAAAACATAAAATTGGATTATGATCATTAACAAGTGTGAGCAGCTCTGTCAGAGCAGACGTTTTGACAGTTTGCTGCAATGCCACAGTCTGACCCAACAGAGTGATCAGAGCTCCAAGCACAGTGGCACAAGGCTCACGATTTGGACTGGGGCAGCTTGAAGTCCTCTCTATACCCAAGTGCTCTACAGTGATGAAGAGAGTGTGAGCATATATATATATATATATATATATTTCTACAGGCTGGGCCATTTATATGGAATGGATACACCGTAACTCCTCAAGATGGGTGGTGACCATGGTGGCCATTTAGAAGTCGGCCATCTTGGATACAACTTTTGTTTTTTCAATAGGAAGAGGGCCATGTGACACATCAAACTTACTGGTAATGTCACAAGAAAAACAATGGTGTGCTTGGTTTCAACGTAACTTTATTCTTTCATGAGTTATTTACAAGTTTCTGACCACTTATAAAATGTGTTCGATGTGCTGCCCATTGTGTTGGATTGTCAATGCAACCCTCTTCTCCCACTCTTCACACACTGATAGCAACACTGCAGGAGAAATGCCAGCACAGGCATCCAGTATCCGTAGTTTCAGAAACCAAGCACACCATTGTTTTTCTTGTGACATTACCAGTAAGTTTGATGTGTCACATGACCCTCTTCCTATTGAAAAAACAAAAGTTGTATCCAAGATGGCCGACTTCTAAATGGCCACCATGGTCACCGCCCATCTTGAGGAGTTTGCCCCCTCACATATACTAATGTGTCACAAACAGGACTTTAATATCACCAACCATTCCCATGTTATTACGCTGTATCCATATAAATGGCCCAGCCTGTAGAAATATATAAACCCTCTAAAGCTGTCTGTCACTGTGTTTTGGCACAAAGTGCTTCAATCTGTGTCTGGAAAGTACAGCGGACAGAAATGTCTGGTAGTGTAATCATTTGTTTTACAGTGACTGTCTATCTCTTGCTCAGTTCATGGTGATTACATCAAACTTCTGTCATGCTGAGGTTAAGTCATGCTTCTGCTGTAGATCTAAAATATGCACCCACACTTCTGGTGGGCTTAAGAGTCAATGTTTTGTAATGTTACCTTTCTTTTTCTTAGCAAATGATTTAATAATCGATCAACATTAATTTATCCTGCCTTACAGAGACCTGCTGGTCACAGCTTGATGGCTTTTCATCTGTTTTCAGTTCATCCATCCATCCATATTCTTCTGCTTATGCAGGGCTAGGTCACAGGGTCAAATCCTCTAGCTTATCCGGGGAAACACCAAGGCCCTGGGGCCTCCTCCCGATGGGACACGGCTGGAACACCTCACCCAGGAGGAATCCTTATCAGAAGCCCTAACTATGTTAACCGGCTCCTTTCGGTGTGGAGGAGCAGTGGCTTTACTCTAATCCCTTCCTGAATGGCCGAACTTTTCACCCTATCTCTAAGGGAAAGGCCAGCCACCCTTCAGAGGAAGCTCATTTCTGCCGGTTGTATCCGCGATCTCGTTCTTTGGGTCACTACCCACAGCTCGTGACCATAGGTGAGGCTTGGAACGTAGATCGACCGGTAAATTGAGAGCTTGGCTTTTACACTCAGCTCTGTCCTCACCAAGATGGATGCGTACAGCATCTGTATCTGTGAGAGACCAACAGACCTCTCTGTGGATCCCCTGCTGCCTTCTCCCCTCACTCATGAACAAGACAAGACCCTGACATACTTAAACTCCTCCACTTGGGACAGTAACTCGACCCTGACCGGGAGTGGGCACTCCACCCTTTTCCGGCTGAGGACCACGACCTCAGACTTGGAGGTGCTGATTCCCATTCCCGCCACTTCATACTCGGCTGTGCTCCACCTGATGAAGCCAACAGAACGACAAGCAGAGATGAAATTCTGAGGCCACCCAAGTGGAAGCCTTCATTCTGCTGTGAACCACAGAGTAGAATAAACTAAAGGGTCAGATGCATCTGTCAGGTCTTTGGTGGATTTCTTTTCCTAATTCAAAAATACTATTTCATGCCAAACTGTCAAACTGTTATCTTTGGCATTTTGCATAAAATGAACTAAACAAATGTCAACCAGTTATGTGTGTTTGTGACAAGTGCTTGTAACAAAGATTTAAAACAATTTAAAATAGTTGTTATTAATTTGTCTGCTCTGTGTAGACAAACACTGGTCCATTCCTTGAGTCAGGAGCCTTTTTATGTTTGAATGATTCACAGGAAGGCGTGTCGGTGTGAGAGCTGGTGTTTTGAAACTTATGCACATTACTATATTTCAACGAATATAAACACAAATCAAGCATTTTATTGTAGAAAAGTGTAGAAATACTGACCTAAGTGCAAAGACTGTACTCCTAAAATAGTTCTGCCTTTATTTTATGACACCTTTATCTTATTTAATCTTTTCTTTGCCTTATTCACAGTTACCTGACTGACCAGTGCTGGAATGGAGGCTGTATTTACCTGATACTGCTGCGGCGAGTCAAGCGAAAGGCTCCTCTTCCTCCCTGCGATGCAGCTGAAAGTGTTTGTATCCCACTCACCAGTGACAACTGTGAAGACCGGCGTCGCAGCACATCTGAGTCCTCCGACAGCTCTGCAAATTACAGACGCACACGTAAATTTGGAGTGATATCACGCTCATCCTTCAACCAAGAGGACAGGCAGCGTACGAGCTCAGAAGTCCGGAGGTCTTATCATGACTACAGTTCTCATCCTGAGAATATAGAAACTAGTCCTCCAGATAACTCAGCTCACATCCTCCCCACACCTTCTAAGGAAAGCCCGGACCACTGTTCTCAGGTCAGAGCTGCTCCCCAGCGTCAACACGGTGGCGAGGCTGCCCCCCAGTCGCTAAGGTGTTACAGTCAGCTGCTAGAGTTCAAAATGGATTCTCCCTGCAGTGAATATTTATGCCAGGTGAGACAAATCGGATCAATGCTCGTCTGTTAGAAGCTTCCAACATGTTTTACTCAGTAACTGTTTCAATGAGAAGCAAATACAATCTACTGTGGTGCAGCTGTTGATAGGTTCATCTAGCATAAACCCATTGCTGGAACGCCAAGACAATTCTACTCCAATGGCAACAGCAAAACGAAAGTCACCAGAGCTCTTTGTGTGACCTCGTGCACGAGGGAGACGCCTGAGACGAGCGCTGTTCCTGCCGCTCGAACCCCAGCCACTCTCAGTCAGCTCCTCCATAGCACTGCTCTTTATCGTGGTTACATGAATATGCATAGGTTCATTAACATATGACGTCTTACACAGGCATACATGTGAACAAAGAGTACCATCTGTGTGTATGTGTGTGTATCAAGATATGGCCCTGTGAACGCCTCCTTAAAAAGCCGGTACCAGGAGTCCAGCGGTCCACCTAAACAAAAGGCTCTTATACTAAAAGAGATACAGATACAATCCTCCTGTACCATAAATCAGGAAGAGAAGGTACGACCTCTCATGGCCTGAGGATGTGTGTGCATATGCCAGAACACTCTGGAAGGCACACAGAGTCTGAATCTGTGGCAAGATCTGAAAACTGCTGTTCACAAACGCTGTCCATCTAATCTGACTGAGCTGGAGCTGTTTGCAAAGAAGAATGGGCAAAGATTTCAGTCTGTAGATGTGCAAAGCTGGTAGAGACAGACCCTAAAAGACTGGCAGCTGGAATTGCAGCAAAAGGTGGTTCTACAAAGTATTGACTCAGGGGCTGAATAATTACGCACACCCCACTTTGCAGTTATTTATTTGTAAAAAATGTTTGGAATCATGTATGATTTTCGTTCCACTTCTCACGTGTGCACCACTTTGTGTTGGTCTTTCACGTGGAAGTCCAATAACATTGATTCATGTTTGTGGCTGTAATGTGACAAAATGTGGAAAAGTTCAAGGGGGCCAATACTTTTGCAGCCACTGTGCATTGTCAATGTGGAGCAACCAACCAGCAGGGCAGAAAATATAGTCGTTTGCAGGGGAAGAGCTGGTGCTTTTTTGGTGATTTATCAACAGTGCCTCAATGGACCTTAACCACATGATTGCATATGACCAGCCGGTCCATGTAAGTTAGTCCATGTTTAATTAAAGATTTCCAAGGAAAGCAAGAGAGGAAAGCAACACTGACCTACGGTTTAACATGTAGGTCACTGTTGTGAGAAACAACTGGTATGTCATTCCTGTATATCATGCAAAATGTGTGTAGCTAGCTTATTTTTGCTTCTGTTTTCTACATAATTCATGTTTTTGCACATTACTGATAATACATCTAGTATGTAGTAACATTTATATCTGACTCTGTGTGATAAGTTGTTTGTTTTTCATGTGTTTTTTTGTAGCCCAGAGATACCAACCACATCTGGAAAATGCACATGGTGAAGGGTCAGGAGGGCCTTGGCATAAAGATCACAGGGGGGCGTGGCTCCAAGCGTTCCCCTCATGGCATCATCATTACACATATAGAGGAGGGAGGCGCCATTTACAGGTGAAGTTAGGAAGGAAAAATGTATAAAATACATGGTTTAGTTTATATTTGTTGACCTCTCTCCAACCCCCCTTCTGTGTGTGTGTGTGTGTGTGTGTGAGTGTGTTGTTGTTGTCTGTGGTGTCTGTGTGTGTGTGTGTGTGTTGTGCGTGGTTGTTTTACAGGGATGGGCGTCTTCATGCTGGTGATGAGTTACTGATGATTAATAATCAGTCTTTGGTGGGTCTTACTCATCAGGAGGCTGTTGCCATTCTCCGCTCTGCTACAGGTCTGGTCCAGTTGGTGGTTGCCAGTAGGGTAAGTGCACAAACACAGACACTGGAGGCATGAGTGAGTTTGAACAGAAAGTGAGCCATTTATTGAGGCTAGAACCATAACATAATTAAAAGGCAAACCTCAAAACTGCTCAAAGAAGTCCTGCCATTAATTAATGCTTCGATCTTAAATATGATCAACCTATCTCTAATAATCAGCTATGTACCACAGGCCTTCAAGCTGGCTGTAGTTAAACCTTTACTCAAAAAGCATCTCTAGACCCAGCAGTCTTAGCTAATTATAGGCCAATCTCCAACCTTCCTTTCATATCAAACATCCTTGAAAGAGTAGTTGTCAAACAGAAGCTTCTCGGATGTGAGAGGTGAAACGTCTTCAAGCAACTTAAAGAAGTCCAGACGCTTTTCTTTGCAAGCTCCTTAAACTAGTATGACAGTAGTAGGCTGCATTTTTGAAGTTTTTGTAAAAAATAAGGTTTGCATGTACACATCCATTGTTGTCCTTGCAGGAGGATTCAGATGTAGGCTTTGATCCTTTTCCATCCGCCAGTCTGCCAGACCTTGTCAGCACCTGCAGCTCCACTTCATCCCTGTCCCAGGCTGCTCACACCAAGACTTCCAACAGTAGCACCAGTCTGCACAAGTCCTACATGGTACAAACAGATAATATGTAAAGTGAGACAAATCGTTTTTTGACCTCTTGCTGAATTTGAAAGTTTGCTCACTTAGAATAAAAAGTTTTATGGTAGTTTTATTTTCACTGTGAGGGAGAATATCAACCAACATCCAGGAAGACACATGATGTGAAACTTATAAATGAATTTGAATGTCACTGAGTCAGTTAGTAGTGACTCCAGTAGTCAATGCTACCAGAGTCAAATGTTACAGCAGCTCATGAGTGATTGAACAGGATATAATTTCTCCCAACACTTGCATGTAGGGTCAGGGCTTCCACCTCAGCACGCAGGCAGTTCTACTGAGTCGTGCTAATGACCTGCTAATTGTATTCAGGTGTGTTGCAGCAGATGGAAAAGTTTCAGAACAGCGGCCCTCGAGGACTGGAGTTTGACAGCTGTGGTTTAGAGAGGTTCTTTCGACAGCACATGTCCAAGATACACGATCATAATTATAATATTTCTGTCTGAGTCAAAATTGAACTGAATTAAATCAGGACCCTGAGAATCAGAAGTGAAACCCCAAATATAACAGTAAACTTAAACACTGCTGCAAAAAAGATGAAATTAGTGTCGCAGAAAAATCATTAATCTGGTGATTTAGCACGCAGCGAGTGCGCTCGGTGCTGCTTTTAATATCTGTGGTGACGGCTGCACTTTACAGTGTTAAAGCTTTGAACTGAAGTGTTAGAGCGTCGAGTGTTACTGTCCCACAGTCTAATAACAGAAACACAGAAATAGCTTTAGTTTTTTGGCAGATCAGTAAAATGTATTTTACTGTCTGAACAAATATTTGTTGTGTGTTCCTTGGTAGGTGCCAAAGGAGTGTCAGATGTTCATAGCTGCTTAAAGAGCGTGTGCGTGTCCTTGCAGGTTGATAGCCTGGAGAAATTAGAAGAGCAAAGTCAGGAGGAAACAGCCCAAAGATCCTGCTGCGGCCCCACAGCCACGAAGCTGTGCAGCCAACCCCAGGGTTAGTGTTTCACAGAAACACACTGCTCAGTAACAACAACAACAACAACAACAAGATTTGAAATGTTTCTCTCGACCTAGGAGGGAGCACTCGCCTGGAATCAGTGGGTGAGGATGATGAGCTGTTTGTGGCTAATGGGACAAGCTCCTTTGAAATGATTGAGAAGCCCGGCCGACGTAAACACTCCCTACCTCAACAGCTGGACCCGTCTGGAGTGAGACAGGTCAGTCAGTGTCACAGGTTCTTTCTCCCAGTGTTAGATGAAAAATGGCACGAGCGCTTACCTGAGAAAAATAAATCAGAATGATAGCCTCTTAATGTTGTGTCGCTAGATATACATTAACATAGACCTGTAACGTGTAACAGGAAAAAAAGGTATTTTCCTAACGTGTGAAAATGCAAATTATGTCAGAGACTGAGTGAAAGGTCTCATCACTATGTAAATAACTGTTTGGAAATTTATTTGTCAGACTTTGTTTTGCTTCATTCAATTTCCAGGAATATCAGATCATTAAGAAATCAGCTCGCTCCCTGAGCACTTTTCAAGTGGAATCTCCATGGCGACTGGCCCAGCCATCCATTATCTCCAGTATAGTATTAATGAAAGGTCAGGGCAAGGTAAGTGCACTCATTTGGCATGTGTACATGAATAAAGCTTTGAGCCTCTGAAAAGACCCATCTCTCTGCTGTTAATGTGTCCTTACATGATTTGTTAGCATCTGCTTGTGCTGTCTTTCTTCTTAATGATGTAAGTAATGAAAGGGCTCCCACAGTTGGCACAGCCCAAGCAGAGACAGATAGATGCAGCATAGACGAACAACAATAATGTTATAAAAGACAGATGAAGAAAATATGTAGACTATACAAAGTAGAACACACACACACACAAACACATATATTTATTAATTCCCCTCTCGCGCCTGCGGGCGGTCTATCCTTCAAGCGCGGCCCTCTACCAGAGGCCTGGGAGCGTCCTGCTGTGCAGTATCTTTGCCTGTTTGAATGTTTGACGTGTTGACCAGTTTGACCAGTTTGGCCAGTTTGGCTTGTCTTTCCATGATGGTTGCTTCTCCTCTCTCTCAGGTACAGCCTCAGGGTGCTGGAGTTGGTGTGAAGCCCTCCATGCATAGTAAAGACCTTCCTTGTCTAGATGCCAGTGGTTTCTGTCTCCTCCTTTAGCCAGCTTATTATCCCAGCAGGTTATAATAGTAGATGCTGATCGCCTCTATCTGGTTCTTACCATTCAGTGGACTCCTCGGGACTTGCCTTACTTTATATAAGTATATAAGTATAAGTATTTGGTGATTGCAGCTTTCTTAGTGACCTCTTCGTGGCCTCTTCGGTTTTCCTACTTACCTGTAGGGTCCCCAGGTACTTGTAGCTGCCCTCGATGTCTGCAATGTTGATCCTCTCAGTTCTGACTACCTTCCCTCTCTTTGATATCATCTGACTACACTTCTCCAGTCCGAATGACATCCCGATGTCATTGCTGTATATCCTGGTGGTGTGGATCAGTGAATCGATGTCTCCTTCACTCCTGGCGTACAGCTTGATGTCATCCATGTACAGGAGGTGGCTGACAGCTGCTGCGTCCCGTAGTCGGTATCTGTAGACAGTTTTGTTGATGATCTCACTGAGGGGGGTCAGGCCTATGCAGAACAGCAGTGGGGACAGAGCATCTCCTTGGTAGCTCCCGCACTTAGTGGTGAAATATGAGCTTGAAGTTGGCCTCTAGTGTTGTGCGCCACATCCCCATTGAGTTCCTGATGAAGGCTCTTAGGGTCCTGTTGATCTTGTATAGTTCTCAGCATTCCAGGATCCAGGCGTGAGGCATTGAGTTACTGGCTCTCTTGTAGTCAGTCCAGGTAGTGCACGGGTTGGTCAGTCTGGTCTTACAGTCCCAGGCGACTGTTCTGTCTATCAGTAGCTGGTGTGTCACCCTTCTCTTTCATATGAGTGCTGCCAGACAAGTTCAACCAGCAGGCGTGAACCATGTCAGGGCCTGGAGCTGTGCAACTCTTCATACTGGAGGCCCGTTCTTGGATGGACCACTGTGATGGTCACTGGATCTTGTTCAGGGAGGTTTGATCTGCTCTTAGATCCAGTGGCCACTGAGCATTGCTGTTATGGGTTGCATCCTTCTCCTGTCTGCTCTGGCTCCAGTTCATGTGAGGCTGTTCTCATATTGTAACTCTCTGGTGTACCTCTTCAAGCTACTGTCTAAGGCTGTGAGCATTTACTTGGCAGTTTTCAAGGCCTCGGGTATGGACAGCCTGCTGTACTTCTTAGGCGTCCCTTTCTTTATCACACCTTTCTGCAGCTCTGATAGTTGGCTAACTTCATTCTAGACTAGCTCGAGTCTCCTCCTCCATGGAGGGTAATGCTCCTTGCTGCTGTTCGTCTTAAAGCCAAACATCTTTGTGATCCCTGCTGCTGTGCTGTAGATCAGCTTGTTGGCTTCCCTGATGATCCCAGTAAGGACTGCCTGTAATGTTGCATTCACTTCTTCTTGTAGACCTTCAGAGGGGACTTCACGTAGTCTTGGTAGTCAGAAACCTGGACCCTCCCTGACTGTGGTCTAGTTTTCCAGCTTCACCAGGTCAGCTTCTCTTGCACTCAATGCACCTCTCGTGGGCTTTGGTACCCAATACAGGTGACGGTGATGACATCTCCCCCTGACCTGAAGCCCTGGTTCCCCTTTGCTGTAGCACTTGTGTTGTACCTCATTAGTTGGGATTAGCAAGGCAAGGCAAGGCAAGGCAAGGCAAGTTTATTTGTATAGCACAATTCAACAACAAGGTGATTCAAAGTGCTTTACAGAGACATTAGAAACAAAAACAAATAAAAAGCAGTTCCTTCTATGGAAGGCTGGAACACGGAGCTACGCTTTGTTTCACCGTCAGTCTGGATGTTGGGTATCAAAGACTCCAGAGGTCCCACATCCTTTCATGTAACCCTTTCGCTGCGTAGTAACCCAGTTCCCAACAGTTTTAGTTTTTCTTCTCTTAGCTGCAGAGTATTGTCTCAGGATTTAAAAGCATTAAATATAAAAACATTATATTTATTGCTGAAGCTTATCAATTAAAACAAAGACATCAGACACTAATTAAAAACTTTAAACCCTCCTATTCTCCTGCAGAGAGGTCTGAGGGATTTTCTATGTGTTGACCTCTAATCTGCACAAGTTACCGTGGTGATTTATCCCAATAAGAAGTAAATCAGCTTCTTCTTAGAGAAGACCCAGGGTTAACCCTGAGGTTACCAGGATAAACCAGATAGTACAGGGTCCTGTTCCAAATGTAGGAAACTCAGATTTACTGTTCCAGAAAGAGACCTGAACTCTGAGTCAGTTACCAGTGTAACTGAAACCTTAACCTG